TCAGAATATAGATCGGGTTCAAAAAACTGGTAGTTGAAGTAATCACGTAATCAAGTAATCAACTATACATGCATGTACACGGTAAAGCATCAGATTTTCACCCTACATCTCAAATATTACACTTTTTCTATAAGATTGGAAAGATACATGTAACAAAAAAAAAAACATTTTCTTTAGGAAGATTTGTTTTCCACATCCCTTTAGTCAGAGGTATTCAGAATCAAAGCAGACGTAGTAAGCATTTACCTTGGTTCGAAAACAAAGAACTAAAGCCTGGTATCAAACACCTCTTCTTCCCCTGGATGGAATACAAAAAGAGATTGAAATACAATGCGCTCATTTTCTTTTAAGTGATACAATAATAATTTTCACAAACACAGAAAAGAGAGCTGCCACTTATCAAAGCTCAATAAACTTGTGCATGTCTGTGTTGAAGTGTTTTGAAAACTGAGGTACACAACATCAAAGTCACTATTTCCATTCAATGAGCTGGGGTAAGAGGCTGCTACGTTTTCTGTATCTGGGCAAATTATTACCGTATCCATAAAAAACTCAAACAAACAAACAAGTAAAACGGCTCCATAAATTCATAAATTTTGGATTAGCGTTGAATAAAAAGTTATGGCTCTTCGTTACCAGGAGGTATAATTATACTCAAGTGGTGTGGTTTTTTGTTTTTTTTTCAATGTAATCAACTCCCGATGTGAATCGCAACCTGTCGACAGAGCATTTCGTGTCCTTCGGGTAATAGAGTGGACTGATTATGTGTCATCTTATAAAGCATTGTGTGGACCAATTTGAGCTTATCTATTCTAATTCAGTTTATAAAAAAATTTACCTTCCTCTGCGACATCCATGTAAGGCTTATGCGCCTTCTCTTCTTCTTCAGCTTTTCTAGCTTCTTTAAAAAATGATTTATTGATATAAAATAACTTAGTATTCAGTTATTAAATTTTGTCTTTGTACTTAGGGATTAAAATCATTAATGTCTCACCATTTTATACACTATAATTTTTCCGGTGACTACCAAGATAAAAGAAATGTTTTAACCACACATAAAATGCCTTAATCTCTTGAGTGACCAATCAAAAACCATTATCTCCTTTACCTTTGTTACTGGGCAGTGGAATCTCTTCAATCTCCAGCTGCTCCTCAGATTTACCAGCTTTGTGAAATCAGATTTATTGTTAAAAGTTACGTTAGTTATGTTAATAACGCACTAAGTCTCAAGTCTATGACAACAACAAACTTTCCAATAAGACTTTTATTTAATTACATGACCCATTATGTTCAGTAACTGCGGAAAGGTTTTATACCTTACCTGAAATAGTGGCCGAGAACCTGCTGCTCTCGTAAAATTTTTCATGTGACAGACTTAGCATCTGTTATTTGATTCTTGATTAAGCGTTAACATGATAACCCTAATCTGATTGGTGTGACATACAAAACCATGCAGTCAAGTGCGCCAGCTAGGTAGCACCAGCCAACATTCGCTGTTTTTTTTTAGAGTTATGAAATTTCCAAAAGAAAAAAATTAAAATTGAAAAGGTGTTTACCTTCCACAGTCTTTGTAGTGACTGGTCTGATGTCAAAATCCTCCTGATAATCTGTTTTAAGGAACAATTAGAGTAAAACGTTTCGTGATGCTTATTGTTCGTGTTTCATTTCGCAATAAATGTTTTTAAAAATTTTATTTTGGGTACGTCAGATTTTCAGATGTATTCAATTATTCATTGATTGATGAAATATCACTGGGTTACAAAGTTCACATTTAAATCTGCAAGTTAATTTGGGCGCATGAAAATGGTCGCTGGAATAATACTGATACCTCTGTCAAATACAGTTGTTCAGACGCATTACCTTTCTTCATTTTGGCGATTCTTATGATCGGTTGTAAATATTTCAATTTGAGAGAGCTAATATTTGCTGGTTTAATTGATTAAACTATACATAACTGCCAAGAGAGTTGGATTGCAAAGTCAATTACAGCTTTATCGTCACCATCAAAACTCCTATATTTATTAACTGACCTGGTTGCGGTGCAGGCAATTTAGGGGCTTCCACCTCTGGGACTTCGTTGTGTTCCAATACCTGCATTTCAATTAACTCTCCAATGGGAACGAAAATGAAAAGAAGGAATTAGGTATCTATCCTTTCGTAAAATGCACCTACAGAAATTTTTTAGAGCAGAAAAGGAATGCTGTGGTTTCTATAGGTATTTCAATTTGAGAGAACTAATATTTG